CCCCAAAACCCCAAAACCCCAAAACCCCTTCAGTCGTTTTATATTAATTTCTGGATATATTGAAATTTAATATTACAAGAATTCATATTTAACAAGGCTGTCTAAAACTATAATAATTATTTAAAGGATTTACAAAAATGAGAAAATCTATATTGCTTGTTTTATCAATTATTGGTACTGTGATTATAGAATAAGTATCTGGCAAGTTTTTATCATATCATGAGCACAACAAACATACAGAAATAACTGATTATAATTCCCACAGCAATATTGTGAGAGAACCAAAACTACACAACTATAAGATGGTGCAGTTCAATGGAAGCGATATTGTTAATGTTCCTGATAGTTTCGATTGGAGATAAAAAGGTGCTATTAGTCCAGTGAAAAATCAGGGCTAAATGGGTCAAGCATCGATTTACACAGCTGTTGATTCTATTGAATCTGCTCATTTTATAAAAGCAGGAAAACTTCTAAGCCTTTCTGAAGAATAAGTAGAAGATTGTGATTAACAGGCAGAAAGTGTCATTGATGTTTATAACTACGCTTCAACTCATGCTCTTGAACTTGCTTAGGATTATGGTAGCATTAGATCCTAAGGAGCTTGCCACTATGACCCAGCAAAAGGAGTAGTTGAAGTAAAAAAGGTTGTCAAAGTTAAGCCAAATGACTCAGAAGAACTTAAGAAAGCAGTGACACAATCACCTGTGACCGTTGTCATTAATGCTGGAACTATGGAATTCTAAACGTACCAAGGAGGAATTTTTAACCCAAAAAATTGCCCAGCTGAGGTTGATCACACTCTGCTTGTGGTTGGATATGGCAAAGAGGGGGATTAAGGCTATTGGATTTGTAAGAATACTTGGGGAAATTCCTGGGGAGAGTCAGGCTATATAAGAATAGCAATGACTGATGGTCCAGGTGTTTGCGGTATTAACCTATATGGAGCATATCCACAAACTGATTGAAGCATTGATTTAAAATAAAAACATTCTTAACTCTATGTTATTTTTACTGATGGGGTTTTGGGGTTTTGGGGTTTTGGGGTTTTGGGG